ACCGGGATTTAAAAATAGTTACGCAAAAAAGAGCGTGCCCGCTCCGACCGTTTTTAAAGGGTTAAGATTAATTCAGTAGTTGAGTGTGAATACTTGTCTGTTTCGCTTTGTTAATCCTGCATTAGATTGGTGAAAAGCCCAAGGTATACCCTGACTCCCACCGTTAAGGGTGATTGAATAGGCTCCAGCACTTCCACCCACTCTACACCTCGTGACCCGATAAGTAGAAAAAAATGGATGGATTCTCCGTTAGGTATTTTGAAAATAAAGGGATGAGCACAAATTTACTTACAGTGCTGTATTTGAGTTTTTCACCACTGGCATCAGCCTCAGAAATGCGTCCTCTGAAGCTGAGTAATTCTTCAGGTCAAACACTTCCAGATCTTTTTCTGATGACAGTAAGATGAAGGCAAGAGCTGACCACTGAGCAGGAGACAGTTCATCTGTGGACAGACTTCCTGAACTTGTGTACTGTTGGATCTCCTCCACTAGAGAAAGATCATTCAGTTCATTGAGACAGTGGAACAGATTGATGCTTCTCTCTGCAGACAGATTCTCACTGAGCTTTTTCTTGATGTACTGAACTGTTTCCGAATTGGTCAGTGAGGTACTTCTTGTCTGTGTGAGCAGACCTTGTAGGAGAACCTGATTGGTCTGCAGTGAAAGACCCAGGAGGAAGCGGAGGAACAAGTCCAGGTGTCCATTTTGACTCTCTAAGGTTTTGTTCACAGCACTCTGGTAGAAGAATGTAGGATCTATTGTTTTAAATTTCTGGGAAGTTTTTTGTTCTTCCAGCAGATTGAGTCCAGAGTTGCTGAAGGTCAGATGGACATGGAGAGCAGCCAGAAACTCCTGAACACTCAGATGGATGAAGCAGAACACCTTGTCCTGGTACAGTCCTCTCTCCTCTTTAAAGATCTGTGTGAACACTCCTGAGTACACTGAGGCTGCTCTGATATTGATGCCACACTCTGTCAGGTCGGATTCATAGAAGATCAGGTTTCCTTTCTGCAGCTGATCAAATGCCAGTTTTCCCAGAGACTCAATCATCTTCCTGCTCTCTGGACTCCAGTGTGGATCTGTCTCAGCTCCTCCGTCATACTTGACCTTCTTCACTTTGGCCTGAACCACCAGGAAGTGGATGTACATCTCAGTCAGGGTCTTGGGCAGTGGTCCTCCCTCTCTGGTTTTTAGCACATGCTCCAGAACTGTAGCAGTGATCCAGCAGAAGACTGGGATGTGGCACATGATGTGGAGGCTTCGTGATGTCTTGATGTGGGAGATGATCCTGTGGGCTTGCTTTTTATCCCTAAATCTCTTCCTGAAGTACTCCTCCTTCTGTGGGTCAGTGAACCCTCTGATCTCTGTCACCATGTCAAAACATCCAGGAGGGATCTGATTGGCTGCTGCAGGTCGTGTTGTTATCCAGAGGCGAGCAGTGGGAAGCAGTTTCCCCCTGATGAGATTTATCAGCAGCGCATCCACTGAGGTGGACTTTCTAGGGTCAGTTAGGATTGTACTTTTGTGGAAGTCCAGAGGAAGTCGACACTCATCCAGACCATCAAAGATGAACACAACCTGGAAGTCTTCAAACCTGGAGATTCCTGCTTCTTTGGTTTCTTTAAAGAAGCGATGAACAAGTTCCACCAAGCTGAACTTTTCCTCTTTCAGCACATTTAGCTCTCTGAAAGTGAATGGAAAAATGAACTGAATGTCCTGGTTGGCTTTGTCTTCAGCCCAGTCGAGGGTGTATTTCTGTGTTAAGACAGTTTTCCCAATGCCAGCCACTCCCTTTGTCAGCACTGTTCTGATTGGTTCATCTTTTTCATGTGAGCCTTTAAATATGTCTTCATGTCTGATTGTAGACTCCAGATTGTCTAGCTTCTTAGATGCTTTTTCAATCTGTCTGACCTCATGTTCATTATTGACCTCTGCAGTCCCTCCCTCTGTGATGTAGAGCTCTGTGTAGATCTGATTCAGAAGGGTTGGGTTTCCTGCTTTAGCGATCCCCTCAAACACACACTGGAACTTCTCCTTCAAAGTAGATTTAAGTTGATGCTTAGTCCACTCAGCGTTCCTAATTAAAGTTCCTAAATGAGTCAATAGACAAAAATATCAATAGGAATTATTATATGCACATATTTTGAATATATGTGTATTCATTAAATCAATACTAGAACCGTTTATCTAGCAGGTTAAATCATTTGAGAAATCCTCTTACTGCTGTGCACTTCATCAGCCAACTCCTCCTGATTCATTCTCCTCAGGAAGTTCAGTATGATCTTTACTAATGATTCTCTACTGTCCTTATGGTATTCTTCCTCACCCTTGAATGCCTGGTTATTCTCCGTTTGACTCTGTGAGCATTCTGCATAATCTGGATTCAGAACCTTCTGTATCTTTTTAAGTTCTTCTTTTACAAAAGTGATCATTTTGTCTTCCAAGACCTGCAATGGAATACTTCATGAATGAGGGTGGGGAGGTGGGCCATAGATACTGAGAAACAACAGAGTAAAATGCAAGTGACAAGAAGTGGAACAGAGACACGCAGTATTTGTATAAATGAGAGTGCAGAGAGAAGCTTAGAAAAGAGAAGCATCATAAGAAGTTTCCCAGCTTAAGCTCACCACTGACCATAACTACAAGGACAAATGAAAGTTGGAAGCCTTAAAAGACAGGTGTCTTTCTATTGAAACCAAACTGGTATCTGATTTTACAGGAGAGGATCTTCAGAATTATTTATCTCATTCTACTGTTAGAAACTTTAGGAACCAAAAGTAAACCTGCAGTTTGCGAGTGAAGTAATTGGTTCATATAATAAGGAAATATGAGCTCTTAAATGAAAGATATGATATTCAGCTAATGTCAAGGTTATGTGACATCTCACCTCTGCCACATGTTAATTACACCCTGATGCAACCACTGGGTTGAACAGTTTTTACTACCACTGTTTTACAACCAATTGTTCACAGTAAAAGCTTAATTCATAGAAAGCAATTCAATTGTGTGTAATATCCAGAGTCCTAATGAAATCCAAACCTTCACTTCTTTTAAAAACTTGATGAAGACATTTCATGAAAGACCAAGGAATATTTTATTCTATAATTCTTACTAATTAGCTAGAAAGAAGCTAATTGTTAGCTAATAGTTTACTGGGCCCTACCAACAGAGCCAGCATTTTATATGTATTTGCATAACATATAATTATGTCATGCAGTTTAGAGGAGGCAAAAGTCTGTCAAATACCTCTGCCTCCTCCTCCTCCTCCAACAAAATAGTTGTTGTACATGTACAGACCATAAATATGGAGTCCAGCTGTGTTTGATGCTGATGGGCAGCCTGACCACTGGGAAGCTCTGAGCTCTCCTGGTCCACTCTGTGGAGGCATCATGAAGATCAAGAATAATAATAAACATAACCAATTAGTCAAGATGCTGATCCTTGACATAAATAATAATAATAATAATAATAATAATAATAATAATAATAATAACAAAAAAGCTATAATTTCTAAAGTGTGTCTATGCTAATGCTAGGGCAGTTCTCACAAGATATCAGAATCTATATCATTGGAGCAAAGAACTGCTGAGTTTTAAATAGAGAGCCATCTGTACAAACGTCCAGATTATCCATCCATCCATTTTCTTCTGCTTAGGGGTCATGTGGGACTGTAGCCTTTTCCAGCTACCATAGAGGCAGGCTGCACCCTCAACAGGTCACCAATTTGTTGCTGGGCTAACATTGAAATACAGACAACCATTAACATTCACACCTATGGGCAATTTAGATTGACCAACTTACCTAACACTACTAACTGCAAGTCATTGGACTGCTGGAGTACCCGGAGAGAACTCACCCAAACATGGGGAGAACATGTAAACTCCACATAGAAAGACCCTGGCTAGGTGGTGGAATAAAACTCAGGACCAACATCCAGAGTAATACAAAAGTAATACAAACTATAAAATTTTCATCTTTGTAGAATTTGTTATAATTCTGTGGTGACAGTGTAAAGATACCCCCCATTTTTGAAATTTCAGCCGTTTTAACATTGTTCTTTATGTGAGGCTTGGATGGAGGAGGCTTTGCTTTGATGCCATTGTGAGAGAACTGTAAATCCTGTCTCAATGAGAATGAAACTGGATGATAGAGGACTACAACAACTACATTTTAATGTATAAATTATCAATGTAGACCAGGGGTGTCGAACACCAGGCCCCGAGGGCCGGTGTCCTGCAGGTTTTAAAAATCACCCTGGGTCAACAAAACTTAATCAAATGATTAATTCCTTAACAGGCTTCTGGAGAACCTGAAGACATGTTGAGGAGGTAATTTAGCCATTTAAATCTGCTGTGTTGGATCAAGGACACATGTAAAACCTGCAGGACAACGGCTGTCTACGCTGGGAGTTCGACACCTGTGATGTAGAGCAAAAGATTTTGGTGTGAAAGATAAAGAAAGGCATTTTTTAAGCCTATTATCCACAGTCAGTATTTAGAGAAAGTGCCATGACCTAAGAGTTGTGGGAAAATTCCAAGAAAAATCTTTTTTTCTTCACTAAAGAAACACCCCCTCCCACATCCATTCTTTAAACTCTAACTGCTGTGTTCGTAGAAACACTCCAACACACACTGCTTCACATATGAAAATAGAAATGTGTGTGAAAAAGAGCCGAGTTGACATTGATCATGGTGGAGGATTTATTCTTAAACACTGAGTCACAACAACATTTAGACACACATTACCTCTCTGCAGGAGGACAGAGGCCTGATTTAAATGTTTTAATATAACCCTTTGATTGGTCACTCTTGAAGGACACACAGCTGGGGCCAGGTTCATGGGGATCAGATATCAGATTGATCCTGATAGAAAAAAAGAAAAAAAATACTTTAAGTTTATTTTCTTGATTTAAAAATCCAAATAGTTTAATAAAATCTATAAATAAATGTAAAAAAAAAAATCCCAAACAAACCAAATTATCCAGCCATTCTCTTCCTGACTTTAGTTTTCCATTTTGTTCATATTCTTCTGCAACACTTGAATATTTCTAAATGTCAGCATTAAACTGGGCATGAAACACTGCATACATAAAGGCCAATTTAGACCATGGAGCCCTAACACTGTCTGTGAAGCTGGATTTAAGAAATAAGCGTTTCCTCTACAGACATGCTGATAGATATCAGGACTAGTACTTTGGTGAAAAACTGAGTTAGCTTTGTGCGTTTATGTTGTAAACTGCTTGGATGTGCTTTGTAAGAAGATGTTTTGTTGCATAAAATTTGGGATGATCACATGCTATGGACATCTGCTCTGATATCTATCTGCATCACATCTTGAGGAACCATGAAATACTGATGGGAAGTGGGCTACTGGAATAACAAAGGATGAGATTACGGAATACTGGAATGTGCATATAATTCTAGCAAATAGCTCCACCACTCAGGCTAGAGACAGAACGATACTGGATGAGCATATCAGAGAAGGATGCAACTCATAACAAAAAAGGTCAGCTGCTAGTGGATCTAAGAGCAAAACACAGCAACTTTCCTGAACAAGATCCATTAACCTTTAAAGTGGCAGAAATCCATGAAAAAGTATCCAGTATGAAGAGTTGGACAGCACCAGGTCCTGACATGATTCACACCTACTGGCTGAAGCTGACTAAACTCCATGAGCTGCACAAACAAACCTGATGCTAATTGATGAGAGCCACGCAGAGTGGCTAAATGAAGACTGGACAGTTCCGATTGCCAAGGATACCCAGAAGGGACCAATCACAACTATTGACCAATGACCTGCCTCAGCACACCATGGAAGCTTCAGTGAAGCTTGTTGGGCTTGTGTCACAGCGGCTAAGATGAAATGAAACATGGCTAAATACATGAGGGGGAGAAAGAAATTTCAATTCAATTTCAATTTTAGTTATACAGCGCCAAATCACAACAACAGTCGCCTCAAGGCACTTTATATTGTAGACCTTACAATAATACATACAGAAAGTAATTGGCAGAAATACCTGAGGGGCAAAACACCAGCAAATGGGAATTTACGAAAGAGACGGTCTGTCCCCACTGCGATTCTGCATAGGTCTGAACCCCATCAGCCAGATTCAAGACAAGCAATGGGGAAAACTGCAAGAGCACCTACGTCCTGTTGCTCTTTAACATACAGTTTAAATGGGATTGAGGGAATGATGTGTTTGCACTGCAGTTTATATCCAGCAACATCAAACAGTTATATAAAAGAGTTCATGTTACTAACAGCTCACCTCTCCGCAGCAGATACAGGCTGGACATTAAAACTAATTCTGTCCTCTTTAGACCAGTCACTCTGTAAGGACACAGAGGTGGGTTCAGGTCCAGGTTGGTTCCTGTGAATAATGATGGAGCAGTGATGTGAGTGCTGAGCTGTGACATGGAGAAGAGTCATGGACAGTTAGAGATGGTCATCTTACCTCTGAGCTTTGGTCTGGCTCTCATGTTCCCCACACAGAGTGGTTTTAGAGGGAGGGACTCCCTCCTCTCTGTCCTCACACTGATCCATGCTGCTGAAATCACATCAGCTCACACACACTTTCTACCTTCACCTGCAGAGGAAAAACAAATTATTCATCCATACATTCTCTCGCTTATCCTTTTAAGGGTTATAGAGGGTTGGAGCCTATTCATAGGGCTAGAGGTAGGGTACACCCTGGACAGGTTGCCAACCTGCTATAATGGTGGTGTAGCTGAGGAGGGAGACAATGAGGAACATTTAGTCCAGTTCATGCAACAGAATAAAGACAAAGGACAAACTCCTCAACATTTATGTATACACACGCCGTGGCCTAACTGCCCACATCTGGAAATACTTAAGACGGGCTTTCTAGTTGGGCTTCTTGCCTTGGCCCTGAGCTGGCACTGTTACAGAAACATTTCAAGTCACCAACTGCAGTCCTGTCACATATACATCTTACCATTTGTGAAGCTCTCAAACATATCCCATGGCTGTCAGTTCATTCTGAGTTCATCAAAATGTCCTTGTGTCATGTGTGAGACAGACAACGCTTCATACACCCACCCACCTCTGACCAGAGGTGGAAAAACTACACATCACCTTTCAGTAGAAATACACACACTTTTGCTAAAAAATATTCTAGTAAATGCTGGAAAAAAACACTTAGAGGAATAAACACTGCTCTTTGCGTGAAATTTCAACAAGCTATTTATGTGGAAAGGCTTTTTGTGTCAAGCTTCACTGTGAATGTAAATTTTGAAGCAGTTTGGTGGTACACTGATGAAAAAACAATTTTCTCTCTCACACTGTCTGGCTGACACATGAACACTGAGACTGTGCAGCATCATTTGTCACATCTGCCCTGCAGCTAAACCAAACCAACATTAGTCATTTTATTTTAAAACAACCAACAGGAAATGGCAGCATACAGCTTTGTATCACTTCAAATAGAGAGATGACCATTTCCTTCTGAGAAATAAAAACACAAAACATTTTGATTTACAAATAAATTAATAAAACATCACTTGTTCATCATATTGTTTGATTCCAGTCACTTAATAATCTATAATCATGTGGATGTGATTATAGATCACCAAACTAGAAAAAAATGTAACTGCATGCAGCATAGTTTTAGTTTGAAGCACACCTGAGCATTGAAAAGCATCATTATGTTATTTAACAGGACTGTATAAACATTAACACAGATCAGTGGTTTGTTTGATTTACATATTAATCCAAATCACACAGAGTTGTTTTGAACATATTAAATAACAGTCCGACGTCCTGTTCTGCTCCATCACTTTCTGTGATGCCTCAAATCATCATTTGTGAGCAAAGGAATGTTTAACTGAACATTTCCTCATGTCTGAGATGTTACAGTATGTGTGTGTCTGTCTGTGAACATTAACCAAGTAATTAAAACTTCATTCCAATCAATTTGTTCTGTTTTTAAATGTGTTTTTATATCTTTCATGAAGAAGTCTATTTTAAAAGGAAAGGGTGAACAGTCTAGATTAGACTGGCAGAGTAATGAACTACCTACCTAGCATAGACAGAGAGTGCAAGAGTCTGAGGGCCTCTGGTCTTATCCATGAAATAGAATTCACAAAGGGGCAGAAAACTCCTAACAACTTTTTTCTTCTTTGAAAACTTAATTTGAAATAGATTAAACACAAGTATTAGGGTTTGTTTCTGCACTTTACACATTCTTTAGTTATTGAGGGACAGATATAAACATATTTAACGCAATATTGCTGGCATTAGCCAGCAGAGGTTTGTGGCCAAATCCAGCACAACTAACTCAAATGACTTTAAGCGGGCCTTCATTGAGACTGAAAACATTTCAAAATGTTTAATAAAAAATCCAAAGACGTCAATCGAAGGCTATGCAGGGGGAAACACAATAAACCACACACTGACCAACTAAAAATGACTAAAAGCATCACACAGTAAAAGAAGACAATTCCACTGATTAAGAAGACAAAGTACAAAATAAACATAAAACCTTAAGAGTCTGGCAGCAGGAGCCAAAGTGTTCATCACAACATAAAGACAAGGAAAACCTGAATGTCTGCTGTTTAAGAACAAACTGATTAAATCATCCCTGCACTTAGCTTGCTTCCTACTAATGAAAAAGTGATGGCAACGGCATGTTGAGTATTTATACTGCAACCCCTAATATTTAGCCACCATCTTCAAATCCTCACTCTGAGACCTTGGTAACTTTAGGGTCAGCCACCCCGAAGTTTAAATGTAATCAAAGTAAAATAAAAAACACTAATTTAATGCCTTCTAAATATCATTTGTATTAAGCATTTTGGTTCTTAGTCAACACACAAGGCTACTCAGACCCTGCTCAGTATACAGCTAATCTGCTCTTCACAGATGGAGGCAGTGCTAGCTACTCTATGGCTGTACCCCAATTCAGGTTCTGCAGCCTTAAAGTACACAGCCTCAACGGTCCTCAAGGGCCGCGTACTCAAAGACTGCTAAGGCCGGAAGTGCGAGGCTTTTAGGCTTGTGAAATGGGACGGTCTAGCCTCCGTCGCGCAACCCAGGTTGCCTAGCAACCATGATACTAACAGCTGGAAACGTTTCATACAGCTTTGTTTGACAGAAATGAAGGTACATGAGCTTTGTGTGATTTAATAAGTATCTGAGGCTGAGACCACAGGACTGTAAAACATGATTGTTGGGCTTCATTTCTGTACTGAACAGTCATTTAAGACTAGCTAGTAAATAACAATTACTCATTAAAAATGAGAAATGCTATCCTTGCTAACTTTTGAGTATTGTGATGGACCGAGCAGTGAAGGAATGTCGGGCAGTGCAAAAAAAGTTTGTTTATTTTTTTTTTTCAGAACGTCAGGGACACTGCGCTGTGCTGGCCCAAGTAAAATAACTCCATTGGCAGCTCCTAAAGTGTGTGCGCTGGGGTGATGTAAACAAACGGGGTCAGTCAAAAATGTTTGGTATATTTCTTTTTCAAAGCTTCTGCTCTTTGTATTTGTTTATTTTACAAGAAATCTATAGAAAAGTAAAGTTTTTGTTTATCCAATTTTATTAGATGCAACTTTTTTTGCTTGCAGCCCAACTTTAGGAATAAAGCCAATAAGAGTCAAGAATAAAGTTTTGGCATCATCAATAGTAGATCAGTGTCTATGTTTAAAGGACTGCCATGGTACAGGATATGTAAATATCTACACTTCAATTAAACCTGAAAGCTGGTCAGTTTTTCAATCAGTATACTGAATGTCATTGTGATTATAAAAATAAGTATACAGTTTTTATGTCCTCAATTTCCATAATTTTAAAAGATGTATACACATTATGTCAGTCATCTAAGTCAGTGGTCTCCAAACGTTTTTGCGCCACGGACCGGTTTGTGCCAAACAATATTTTCACGGACCGGCCTTTAATGTGTCATGGATATTTACAACAAAATTAAACTACTACCGGTACCAAAAAAAAAGAAGATTTATTCATAACACGTGAAAAGACCCAAGAAAACAGAGTTAACGATCAAAACGATAACAAAATAACGCTGAAAACTGACAAAAACCCTGAAAACCATACATTTCACACCTGAGCCTCAACTCTCGCGGCCCGGCACCAAACAACTCACGGACCGGTACCGGTCCGAGGCCCAGGGGTTGGGGACCGCTGATCTAAGTGACTTCTTCAGCAATATGCACATTATAGAGGCATAAATAATAACATTTGTTTAAATCCATTGCGAAGTTGGCAAAAAGGTTTGTACAACCTTGTGACAGTATAACGTGTGTGAAACATGATACTCGATCTTGGCTTAGTCCATCTCCTAACAATTAATTGCAAGCATTCACAACCAAAGACTGGTCTGCTTCATTCTTGTTTTGTCCACTCTGAGCAAATGTCAGGCATAGTGTTGGCAGAAGTTGCAAAGAGAAATTTTACTAGACCCTAAATTTACAACGCTGCGTAATCCAGTCACATGTCTGTCACTGGTCTTAAAATGGCAATTCTTGATGGTAGTGGTTCTAAACATTCAGTGAATACTGATCGGAGTTTGTTGAAAATTACAGCTCTGCTTGCTAACCGGGCATTGTTTACCTGTTTACATGAAGACGGGTTAGTTTGTCGCTCCATTTGTGTTTAGAGAACTTTTGCGCAATTGCATGACTCCTCTTTTAATTGTTGCTTGTTTTCGGTTGTAGAAATTGTTTTTATGAGCTTTATGCTAAGATTCTGAGGTTTCTGTGGATACCACACATGTCGATATTTGCATAAAAGACTTGACATTGTGGAGAGTTAAATGGCACTTCACCCCATTTGCCCCCGGTACTGGGTGCATTGGGGCTCAGGAGATCAGTTAAAACTGTTCATCAGAGTAACAAATATTTCAGTGCAGAGTTGCACAATCAATAATCTATAATCATGTGGATTTTTCTTCAAACACGAGAGTGATCATAGTATTTCCTGAAATAAGAGATGAACATCTGGTCCAAACATCACAGAGCAGACACAAACAGTAAAGTTCCGAAAGACAAACTATTAAAGAGGAAACAAAGCAAACTTACAGTTTCTTTAAACAGAGACACAACAACAAGCTCCACTCCACACCAGGACACTAATCACAGACACACAGGTGAGCTGCTTCCTGGAACGAGGAGGGACTCTACCTGAAGAGTGTGGGAGGGCCACACCTTCATGTGCTGGTTTAAAATTATGCAGTTTGACTGCTCAGACTGGCTCAGGAAGAAGTAAAGTTCAAATGTTGACATGTGAAGACATGAAACCTTGTTCTAAACCATATGCACAGATTGTAAACAGGAAAGAAAAGAAAGAAAGAATACAATTAAAATTAAAAATCTTATATACACAACAGCTTGTGGGGATAGGTTAATTGGTTAATCCAAATTGCCCATAGGTGTGAATGCGCGAGCGAATGTGAGTGCGAATGGTTGTCTGTCCCTGTGTGTTGGCACTGCAACAGATTGGCGACCTGGCCAGGGTGTACCCCGCCTCTCACCCTATAACAGCTGGGATAGGCTCCAATCAATCACTCA